ATCCAGGCTGCATGTGACGGGTTTGCTTGGGGTTCGGTTGTAGTGGCTTTGTCTGCCACTGGTAGAGTTGCTTTGGGACATGGAATACTGTCATCAATATATCCATAAAGACCGTTGGTAACAAGAAACGGTTGGATCATTGTCTTCCAAAAACCATAATTAGTTGGAGATAGAGTAAAAGGGAATTTATGAGAGTTATGTGAAGTCTTCTCGGTTGTGGAGAAGGGTGTGATAATCGCCATTGATTTGTGTGGGTGTGTTCTTGGAATTGACGGCTAGGGTTGTAACCCTAAGGAGGCCGAAGTATTTTTTGGCTCTGATACCAAAATAGCTTTTGGTAATTGTATTGTGTGTGTAATCACGTGTAACATGTATATGAGATAAATATATAATAGATATAGTTACAATTTAGCCCCTATACTAATATTATGTTGTCTAATATAAAATAGAGTTAAGAATGGTTTATCTCCAACCTCACTCTAAATTCTATTCTGCACTATAAAAATAGAATGTGTAGGAAACTTTATAGTTTATACTTCAAATTTAAAGTGTTACTATTCATTTCTTTAGTTATGGAGTGTAAAATAAAGTTGGATTGAAACATTTACTCTATTTTACAATATATAAATAGAGTGTAATGACAAAAATAGAGTGAAGGTAGAGATGATCTGAATCTTATGGCTAAATGTGTTTAAAAAGTAAGTATTATGTCTATGTAAGATTACCAATATAGTTTTTCTTAACTTTTTTAGATGATATATAATTTAAAAAAAAAAAACAAAACAAAAATGTCCCCTAAATATCTATCTATCTATCTCTCTCACACACGCATACACTTACTTTACTTTTTTAGATGATATATGATAAAAAATGTCCCACATCTCTCTCTCACACACACACACACACATGTGTGTGTGCACGTACGCCTCTTATTAGCCTTATGAACATCGTCTTCTACACCACTAGGTACCCTAGTCCGTCTAAAGCTCTCGTCGGACCATTTATCTACTTTGTCGTCGATCTCTCACTTCCATCACTCCATCTCTTCCATTGCAATCACGAGACTATTATCTTCGACTATTAGACCATTGATTACTTGTAATACCTAAAACAATAAATTGTTACTAAAAACCAAAAAAACAAAAACAAAAAAAAAATACATCTTCCACTCCATACTTTTGAGTTAGAGAGAACCAAGATCATGAAACTGATTCAAATATAACATTGCACTACCATTGAGCAATGTCCAGATTTGAAAGTCTGTTTTATATACATATGAGACAAAACTAAATCCGAGTAACAAATCATTTAGAAG